GGCAAGCTTGTGATGAAAGCCAACAAACCAATTTTTGCTGCTGCCAAAGAAACTTTTCACAAAAAATATGGCAGCGATGAGACCATTGGCAAAACTTATGATGTATTCCTCTATGAGGGCAACAAAGATGCTTTGGTGCATGCAGTGGACAATGGATCAGTGATGGCTTGGACACAGGATGGTGTCAAGTTTGCTGGCTATCGCCAAACCAAAGCTGGAGTTGAAAAGGCAGTGTCTGATGTGCATAAAGTTGAAAGTGGAGCAAAAGAAGTGGATGATGAGACTTACAAAGGCTTGAACAAAGCCTTTTCCTCCATGGCCTGGACCTTTGGTGATGATGAAGGGGAGGAGCCTGGTTCTTCCACTGCTGCTCCTTCAACAAGTCAAAAGATGTTGGAACATTGTGGCCTGACTGAGGGAATGAAGAAAGTGCTGAATGAGGCCAAGGGAGCCCATGAAAGGTTGCATGCTCAAGCAATGAAGTTTCTGGGCAAATGCCAGGCGCAAGATGACAAAAACAAGTTCAAGTCGACAGTGCTTGACCTGAAGACATGGATCAACCAGAATGACCATGTGTTGACTTGGTCTGAACTTCCAGGTGGAGAAGCTCTTACACCAACAGCTTTCAAGGGCTACATGACGAAGCAGCTGACCAAACAGTGAAGCTCAATGAGCAGGTGGAACAGTTCAAGGCCTTGCTCAAGACAAGGAAAGAACTTTAGTTGTTGCTGCTTAGAAAGCGCTACTTAGAAAGCAGGGTTTTGCTCAGCAACAAGGTGGCTCAACAAAATACTACACATGGTCTTTGCAATGAAAGAAACATTGTTTTAATGTTGTTCCAAGAACTACCAAACACTTGTTGCTGGAGCTTGTGGCTTGCTACAGTGTGTGATGCTTATATGACTTTTTGTGGGGGCAGTGTGGAAACCAAAAGCAAGCAAAACAAGCTTTCTCCTGCAGAGCTGAAGGAGAAGGAGTGGAGCAAAAAACAGCTGAGCAAAAAGGTTGTCAAGCTTTGCTTTTCAATATAAGTAGCATATGCTTTCAATGTTTGAAGCCAATATTGGTGCTAAGAGTGTTGAATCTAAGTAGCAAGTTTTGGTCCCTTAAGTGTTGTTCCAGTTGCACATGGGTGTGCAGCTAACAAACAGTTTTTTTGAGTAGGTGCTTTTTGCCCCACAGAAGTGAATGATATAATTTCATCATTCATTGAATGAAAGCCATGAACAAACACCAAACACAACATATTTTTTAAACAACAATTGCATTCTTTGAGCAAAGGTTACCCGTTTGTGTTTTTTGGCTGCGAAAAAAGGGTAAGAATGCATTTCTAAGTAGCGCCACACTTCTCAGAAATGAATGATATAAGTTTATCATTCCTGCAAGCCAACAGGCAAACCAGCAACACCACACATTTTTTGGTGCACTTTGTTTTCTTGGAGCCATGGACAGCTCACCTACAAAGAGAAGAAGAAAGGGTGGACAAAGGCAAAGAATGAACATTGCAAGCAAACAAGAAGACACTGGCTTACAAACCAGCAAATTAGCAAATTTGCTGTTGGAGAGGTGGGCTTGGGGTGAAATAAGCCCTCAAAATGTGCAAGCAACAGCTGCAGCTGTTGTTGCAGACTTTGAAGCTTCCTCAGCAAAGCCACCTTCTGATTTGGCAGTGTTGGCCAATTTGGGGATCTCATGGAAGATATCCCAACAAAATGCACCACGAGCTTTTGCATTTTGCAAACAAAGGCTGTTCTTTCTCCAAGCCTTTTTCTATCAAGATGGGATTCAAACAGCCTTGGGCTGAGCAATTCCAAACAATGCTATTGCCACGTGTTGTGTTCAGTGATCTTTTCCATCATTACCCTGATGCACTTCAGCAATATGTCTGTGCAAGTGACAGAACTCTGGTGGAATTTTGGCAGCTCCAGAAGCAGCATCCAGCCTACCCAGGGCATCCAGTTTCGCAAGCTGGGTTCCAGGCCAGCAACTCCATACCTTTGGCTACGCATGGAGGTGGCACCCCTGCCATAGGGGTTGGGAAGATCTGGGCTCGGATGCTCACTTCCTATAGTTGGTGCAGCCTGGTGTGTCAACCTGCTTGGACAAAGGATTCCCAGTTTCCAATTTGGTTTGTCTTTGATGAATGCGATCAGGGAGATTCCACATCCGAGTTGTTTACAATTCTGTCATGGAGCTTCAAAGCCCTGCAGACAGGTTTGTAGCCAGCTGAAAACCACCTTGGGGAAAAATATTCCACCACTTCAGAGTTGGGCAAGCTTGCTGGCCAACCACTGGCAGGTGGTTACAAAGGAGTTCTGTGGTCACTGGTGGGGGACATGGAGTACTTCAATCAAAAGCTCCACTTGCCCCGTTACGCTTTGCTCTCAGGCCCTTGCTGCTTGTGCAGGTGCAAGGGAGATGAAAGTGATGAGTCTTGGCGTGATTGCAGATTGTCTGCAAAATGGGTCAGCATGCAATGGGCTGCTGCAGAGCAGCTTGGATGGTTCAGGGCAAGAATTTTGTTCTTTTCATGTGCTTAGCAAGCTATGTTTTCTTTTTGTATCCTTGACAAATGTCTTTGAATTAGGAACCAGCTTTTGGTCCAGAGTCCTTGACAAATGCTTTTTGCATTTTCATAGGAACCAGCTTTTGGTCCACAGTGAGGTGGCTAGATTGGCCAGAGAAGCCTGTGGGTGAGCTCTTCACCAATGGCACCACAGCCTGCAATGTATCCTATGATTATAAATGCATTGCAAGTATTTGGGATGCGACCAAATTACTTTTGGCAGCATTATGTTCTTGTCGGTCTACCAGCTTTTGCCTGCTGCTGATCCAAAAGCAAATCTGGCTGTTGTGTGGAAACACTTGCTTCAAGCATACAAAACTTTTGGCATTACAGAAAGATACAAGGGTATGCGAAAGCTCACAATTTTTCAAAGGAAAGGCCAACCACCTAAGATCAAGGGCAGGGCAGGCCAAATTGCTGCCTTTGGGAGCCCCTTGCTGGCAGTTTGGTGCAAGTTCATGAATGAAGAGCTGCACATTCACAGGACTATCAGAACATTTCTGAAAATCAACATTGCCATGGAGCAAATCCTTGCTGACCACAAGGAATGCTTGGCTCTCCCTGGGACCATTGCCACTCAGTTCACCAAGCTTGGCTTTGCTGTGATGCAAATCCATTTGGAGCTCCAGGAGCACTTCTTGGCAGAAGATGTGCAGCTATTCCCCTCTTTGCCAAAGCAGCACATGTTGTTGCATTTGTGCTTGCATTCCAAATGCTTGAATCCCAAGTTAACTTGGTGCTTCAAAGGAGAGGACCTCCAGAAAATTTCCAGAACTTTGGCATCAAGCTGCTCAAGAGGTCTGCTTGGACCACAGGTGGTGGTCAAAATGCTCAGCAAGCTTCGCATAGCTTGGCACATGAGGCTCAGCCAAAGGTCTTGCCTTGATGGAAAAAGACCCTAACATGGTCTTTGCTGGATGGAAAAAGCAAGTTTGCTGTTGCATCCAATGCTTTGCATGCCAAGAAACTATGGTTTTTGTTGGCACCAACAATTGCTTCAAACAAAAAAGATGTTACTTTTTCATGCTATTTCCAAGGTTATTTAATCAAATAGACTATAGTCTATTTTTAAAATAAACTATGTTTGAGGTTATATAAAATAGACTAATAGTTAGAATATAGTCTTTAAAAAATATAAACTATTAGTTTCAAAATAGTCTTGTCTGGTCTTAGAGGTTCTTCCCCTTTCCTTCTTCTTTTTCTTTTTCTCTTCTCTTCCCTACCCCTCCCTCCTGTCGGGACCTTAGAGTGGGACGCAACTACTAGGTGCAAGGACGCTACTATGGATGATTGGCCAACTGAGACTCCCGCTCACGGCTTACCAAACTTTCCGGGAATTTCGCCGGTTTTCCTAGTTCTCACCAGTCCCAACCCTGTCCGGAGCCTAGAGCAAAAGATGCCTCCCTTCGGGGAGGCGTATGTGTGTGCCCCTTGTAGTCACAGGGATCCGTTTGGATTTGTGTTTCTTCTTTTTCCTTATTTAGCAGGGGGGGCCAGGGATGCACACTGGACTGGCACCAACGAAGACGCCAGTGTTGTCTCTGTGAAATCAATCCGGGACGCCGGATTGACGTACCTGCTTGGAAGGAAACCTACGTAATGGACAAGCTGTTCCAATTCTGTGTTTTGCAGTAATTGTCCAGTGCTGACTGACCTCACCGTCGTTGAGCTTTGGAGACCTTGACTTCGGAACTTTCAGCTTTGGAGATTGGCGGAGCTTTCCCTTTACTCATCTTGGTTTCTTAGGCTTTTCACTTAGGCTGGCGTGTGGCACCGCTTTCAGTTCAGTACGCATAATCATAAGTGTGTGCCCCTTGGAGTCACAGGGGTCCTGTAGGAAGGTTTTGCTTCATGGTGATTTTTCAGCGGGGGAGCGGTGGGCCTTCTTGAAGTCACCACTCACCGGAGACACTTCAAGCTTGCTGTGATATGCAATCTGGCTGCAGATTGCACATACCTGCGAGAAGATGATCAGCACTCATTTCCTTTTGGGCCCCGTTGTATCTAGAACAAGACATCCAGCCTTTGTATCGGTTCTTCATCGGCAGACTCTGCACGTTCCGTCGTTCTTGTCGTTCGATCGTTTCGCGGTTGCAATTTGAAACCTTGGAGCTTTTGGATGTTTACAGAACTTGGAGTTGTGGAGGTTTGAACCGCTTAATTTTACTCACCCTGGTTTGCTTAGGTTTTTCACTTAGGCCGGCGTGTGGCAACCGCTTTCAAGTCTGTATGCATTTCTATAAGTGTGTGCGTATCTACCGTTCACGCTTGATCCTGACACCATGTTTGCATATTGCGAACTCTAAGAAAAGACATGATGCAATATCAATATGTCATAGACATAGAGTCATAAATTGACATAGAGTCATAAATTGTAGAGCGTCATTCATGAAACCCTCAACTAACACCAGACCCACAATCATCGCCCAGCCACATCCTCGACCTGCAGCTGCCAGGGCATCGACATGAATCAAGCACTCTCTCCTTCTTCCACTGTTGCACAAAAAGAAGTTCCACGTCTTTTCGATCTGTCCACTCATGCATAAACGCTGGAGGAAATTGAACGACGGGGCCGTGTAGGTCTCAGGCAGCCTCTACATTTCAATCACCAATCAAGCCTATACAACAATATACACATATATAGAGGTGGGAGCACATGGTCAAGCTCAAACCCCTTACATGCAGCTTCAGGTGCTAAATCCCGCATGTTTGGCATCATGCTGGGAGGTCGATTGAGGTCGTATTTCTCCTAAGTTTTCAGGCAATAAGTTTTTGAACAAACGTGATGTGATGACCAAACATGAAAATATGTGGAAAAATATGGAAATAGATATATATATATATACATACCAGTAAAAAAGCAAAGCAAATAAATACAAATAAACAATGAAGAACAAACCAAAGTAGTTTGATTCATCCGTTGTGGAGTTCCATGCAGACTCAAGATCTGGCAGGCTGCTGTCTCTGCCACAAATATGGGACCCAACGAAGGATGGGTGCCATAAACAAAGTTCCTCGTTTGCGCGCAGTTGACGCAGTGTGCTCGAAAAGAACTGCAAAGCCACCTTGCCACCAACATTTTGTGAGAACGGCCTCACACGGGCCTTGCCCGTCCTGCAAAACTTTATCGGTCATGCCTGCACTGAATGCCTTCAAGAAACTTGTTTCCACCACAAAGAATGTCTCTTGCTTCTCGTGCCTGCATTCAGAATCAAATTCTGAAGGATTTTGGAAGGAGCGCTGTTCCTGTCGTATACATTTCAGTCAAATGTCATTACTTGCCCCTTGCATTCTCGTGGCAAATAGATGTAAATATATATATATAGTATTATATAGTGAAATCAGGTCCTACTTCTCCTGTCTAGAGGACTTAGTGCTAGATAGACTTGGATAGCGCAGCGTGTGAAACAAATCATAAACAAGACCAGCCTTTACTGCATTATCCCAGATGGTGAAGCGGATGAACATCGCCGTGGTGACGATAAGGACTGTGAGTTTGATGATGCTGGACAAGTCCATGCCAGCCCACGTCTTCCTGGAACAAACGACCAGTCGGCCAGTGGCTACGAGCGTTGTGCAAGGCCGGCTGCCAGCTATCCGCAAAAGCCAAGTGCCCTTGTCATAACAACTGGAGCGTTGAGTTCTAGCGGTATCAACTCGTTTGGGCAAGACAAAGGCGCCTGCTGCCACCATGGAATTCACCTGGGCCGGCAGTGCTCTGTTTCTGTCTGAGCCCCCAGTATCCCCACATTTATGGGGCTGCCAGTCAAGGTGCGAATTGAAGAGAGGTAATGCATGGCATGCTTCGGTGCCAAAACCTGCGGGACCGTAACGGTGGCTCTGGAAGCTCCAAAAAGAATTGGTGGGAAAAACTTGGCGTGCGCGCTGGAAGTCTAACTTCTGACCCCACATATCACATACTAGAAATCTGTCCTCAACTCTGCACTCGGCACCTTCTTCACTGACAACTTTTGAGGGTGGAGAGTTACATAGTTAAACTGTTACCCGACCCATCTCGAGCACGCGCTGACACTTCATGGGAGCCGGTAACAATAATTGGTGCACAGCGTTCGCATCGCATTCGCTGCGACCAGGTCCAACGACCTGGTGGAGCAGCTGACGGTGAAACGCTGCGGCGAGTACGGTCAGCACCGAGTGTACGGTCAGCCTGGACACTGGATCAGGATGTTTGGGTTAGGAACAGCCTTGCAGGAATCGCCACGCGAACGATCGAGGCAGTAACTAACCCCTGGGTCACTTCAGCCAGCCATTCCGAAGAAACCACTGTCGCGTCGCAAACGAAGCATTTCAGCTTCCTTTAGATTTTAACCCTTTTGCTTGGCTCAATTTTGGGGCCTGTGCCATGGTTTGGGTAATTTGTTGTGGAGGTATGTCTATGTATTTAATTAGTCATATCATGGCTGTTGTTGTCACTTGCTCTTGTTTTATCTTGTGGTGAGGCGCTTGGATCCCAAGCGAACACAAAGGCACCTCTTCGATTTCGATGTTCGCCGAACCCGAACTGCACGGTCCGCATTCTCGCTACTCCAAACCTTATTCGCGCACATGCAGAAGTCACCATCCAGAAAAGCCAAGAGCAAACAAGATACGTTCTTTTTCAAAGGCAGTCAGGCAGCGTGAACTCTGCGCGGCAACCACAGAAGGTGGCCAACTAGAAAATCCACGGTGTTGTGGTTTAGCTCTTCACAGTTGCACTGTACATTAATGCAAGGCTTTGCATGCAGCTGAAGATTTCAATCCTGCACACTTACTCGTCCTCCTACCATTTCTCTTGTCTGCCCAGTGCTTCCGTCTTGATTTCAATCACCGAGGTGAAAAGGAGCCGTTGGCTTAATGCCCCTACAGCTGGAAGCCACAAACAGTGAGGAGTAGGACGGGTGGAGAGCCCAGAACTTTACAGAGCGGTCCTATGCTGCGATGCCCACCTTTCAGTGCGACGTCTGGATCCCACAGAGAAGTCAACGCGGGCCGTATCATTCGCGAAGTGCTTACGCGTTCCTTTGATTTTTGTGCTGGTGGTTGCTGCGCAGAACGGTTCAGGCTGGCTTTGGGTACGCAGTCTGTCATGCCAAAGACTAGCAGCAAGTGACGCCCGGTTTGCTGCAGCTGCTTGCCTGGTTGCTGTTTGCTCTGTTTGATTGGTTGCATGCTTGCCGTTTCCTGGCCATATAGTTCAGATCATCTGCACAGAACCGCACATATCCAGACCCGCTCAAAAGGTTAAACTGAGTTGAGAAAATTCGTCCCGGCGGCTCAACATACAGTCTGGGAGCACATTGAGCAAAAGTCTATGACTAAGATTCTGGGCGAGACGGCGAGAAGTTAAATTACACCAAAACAGGGAGGGTCAATCTAGGTCAGGTGCATATTTATATTTAATTTTCTGCAAACTCTCTGAAGGCTGCCAGGAGTCAACCTCCAACCCTGCCTTGTAAAGCAAATCGTCGATTTCCAGGATAAACAACAGTGCCACAGCGTTTAACATGATGTTGGTCACATCGCCTGTGGGCTCTCACGAGCGGATGGTGGGCTACCTCACCATGAGCCCCCCTGGCAGGACCATCGCACACCACTAACATGACTTTGGCATTTGATGGTGTCCCAGGTTTAGCATTGGGTCCAGCAGCCTGTTGCCAGTTGTTTTTGGAAACACACCTTCGAAGGATGCAGCTTCATCCTCAATCAGCTGCAGAATTGCAAAGAATTAACACGAGGTTTTGCAAATGGCCCTTGGATGCCCTGGGTGCATTCTCCCGAGTTCTCCCGACCTCAGAGACAAGACCCAGCTCCTCTCACCAAGGTCCACAGCCGGGACAAACACCAGCCTTTTGCAAACTAGGATCAAGAGACGTGAAATTGAGCCCAGTAGCGGGTTTGGCAAAGCCACCATGCACCCGAGAAACCCAAGATCACTGCGATGGACGCGCGGGAGAGGACCACGAAGCTGATGGCACAAAGCCGAAAGTAGCTGATGGATTCAAAGCGACGGTTTCCATCCTGGCCACAATAGCTGGGCGACAGAAAGCCGGTCAACAGAACGGTCACTGGTCAAGCTTGAGAACAACGAAATATGATTCATAATAATGTTCATATTAGGTTTACACACACATACATATTAACATATGTATATATATATTGTGGTTTAAAAGAATATTCTTAACCCGAGAAGCTGCAAAACGAAAGCCAGCGTTGTTTGTCCATTAGCACGTTGGTGGTAATTTTGGTCTTGAACATAGAACACCATTGGACATTCGATAGGCATCCCATATTTTTGGTTAGCTATCCTTTTGCCAGCCCCGGGCCTTTTGCTTGAAGAGAGATGGTAAAAGTGCAGCGGTAGCTACCCTGGGTCCGCTACCCTGAGTCCGCGCGCGTGCACGCCTTGCTGGCTCTCGGTCTGCCCTGGATTTAGGTGCGCGCGCGCGATATATAGCACTTCAATCTCGTTTTCCGTCAACCGCTAGCGTGACAAACGCGCAGCGTACCCAGGGTAGCTACAATTCGGTTACCAGGTATTGTACTTCAAGTTCCTTTTCCGTCAACCGCTCAATACCCGTTAGAAACGTGCAGCAATCTACGGCTTTGAAATCTCATGCGTGCTTTGAACTTATATGTGTGTGTAAGAGGTATAGCAACAAAGCATGTATACGGACCCAGGGTAG